GTTCAGGTAAAGGACTTTTTTTTATAGCGTGTTTCATGAAATAGCCCTTCTGTATTCACTAGCCCTGAGAGCTGGGTGTGTGGGGATCCAGGAGGCTGACAGGTTTGGCTTTTGTCTGGTCCAGGCTAACCAACTCTTAACTGTGCATTGTAGCAGTGAGGCCTCCCTTTGCAGAGAGTTTGTGCTTCCTTCAAGTGTGAGGTGGAGGGGGTCTGGAATGAAACTAACATGAAACTAACATTTCTGCTCCTTTTTTGTGGCTGCTATTTAAACTGTACCCTTCACTAAAGGCAAATCCCCAGCTTTTGTTCACTATAGAAAAAACAAACTCATGGTTTTAAAAAAAGCCAAAGGAAAGAGGAATCTAAGGAAGGATTCTACTTTCCTTTCTCTATAGCACTTTTTTCTTAGTGAGTTTCCTTGAAATAACAAAATCCAGAATACCAAGCACCAGGTAAATCCAGGTGGCTGCTTTTGTTTTGCAGACTGAGAGCCTCAGGCTTTCCCACCCACCTGCTCCCCGACATTGCTGAGCCAGGGAGTACAGCTGGCAGAACTTCCCATATGTGGTTTGAAATCCCCAAAGGGACACAGGTGGGTGTGGCCATGGGTGATTTACAGGCCTCCGTCTATTCCTGCATGGGTCAAAAGACAGATGCAGGTAAGTTTTGCTTTTGTTCTCTCCCGAGACACTAACGTCTCCGGTCTCCTAAGTGCTATCCCTGAGCAAAGTTCTGAGGGGCATGGGTAGTTTAGCAGCCTTAGTACCCTTTAATCTACAGAAATGAAAGCAACTTCATCTATGCAGGTGAATCCCTCTGCTTAGAGAGCTTGCAGGCCAGCAGATGAGTTTCTGCTCCTGTAGGCTGACCATCTGGGCTTATTGAGCCAGGTGAAGGAAATAACTCTATTGTAAGGCTATTTTCTTTTTTTTTTTTGGTCCAGTTGTGGGGCCTGAACTCTGGGCCTGCGCGCTGTCTCTCAGCTCTTCAGCTCAAGGATAGTGCTCTACCACTTGAGCCACAGTGCCACTTCCGGCTTTTTTTTCTTTTGCTTATGTGGTGCTGAGGAATTGAACCCAGGGCCTCAGGCATGCAAGGCAAGTGCTCTACCACTGAGCCACCTTCCCAGCCCCTGTAAGGCTATTTTCTATACTCTATGACCAAAATATTAGATGATTAGCCTGGGAATGAAGCTCAGTTGTAGAACACTTGCCTAGCATGTACAAGCCCAGCACAGGGGGAAAAAAAGAGATGTGTAGAGCCGGGCGCTGGTGGTTCACGCCTGTAATCCTAGTTACACAGGAGGCTGAGATCTGAGGATCCCGGTTCAAAGCCAGCCCGGGCAGGAGAGACCGT